AATAATACTTATACTACTACCTGATAGGGCTATGAGGAAAGCACCTTAACTATAAAACCCTATAAAATGTGAACTACTTGCTATTCTTCAACTGCCATGATTAAGAGCAGTCTACTCATCCTGAGTAAATTAAGCATAACAGATAAATGTAAATTTCTACATTTAGGCTCAGAACTCAATTACTTGACCACTAGAATGTCCTTGGGCAAGTCACTTAACCTCTGTTGTCCTCAGTTTCTTCATCCAGGAAGAGGAAGCAGTGTAGAATAGTAATAGTAGTAAGTTGCCATATATATAATTATATATATTATAATAGTAATAGTAGAGTCAGCAACACCTGGCTTTGAATCCTTCTATCGACATTTGACTAGCTGTGTGACCCTGGGGCAAGTCACTTAGCCTTTCTGAGCTTCAGTTTCCTTATCTGTAAAATGAGGATAATAATAACGTCCACTTCACAGCATTATTGTAAGGATCAAGTGAGATAATGCATGTAAACACTTTGTAAACCTTAAAATATAAATGTTAGCTATTATTCTTATTTTCCATAAAATGATGAGATTGGACTAAATAACCTTTAAGGTCTCTTCCACTTATAAATCTGTGATCTCATGATCCTAATAACAATGACTATCATTTCTATAGCACTTTAAAGTTTGCATAGCATTGTCCTCACAACCCCTTTGAGGTAGATAGTACAATCGTTATCCTCATTTTACAGATGAGGAAATTGAGGAGACCTCAAGAAGCCCAACGTCATATAGTTAAGTTACTAAGGATCAGAAACAGGGTTCAAACCCATCTCCAGTGTTCTTTCTACTACACCACACTCCTCATTACAGGATGGAGAAGACCTGATTTGTCATCAACTTATGTAAAAGAAGCTTACTATGTGATAGTAAGCTCAGTATAAGCCAATTTTGTGACTAAATGCTAAAAACATTTTTAAATGCCATTATTAATGCAGTCTCAAATTGAATTAATAGAAATATGGTCTTCAGATCAAGGAGGGTAATAGCCTCCTACTTTAATAGCCTCCTATTAAAGGGTACTTTATGCTGATTAGACCATATCTGGACTGTTGTATTCTGTTCTAAGCACCACTTCTAAAATATTTTATTGATCTTTTTTTTTGCATCCCCTTCACTTCCAAATATATCTTCCTCACAGAACCTTCCCTTATAACAAAGAATAAAAAAAGAAAAGAAATAGTTCAGCAAAACTAACACATCATCTGTCTAACATATATCCCATAATCCTCCACCTCTACAATGGAAGGAATTTAACCACTCATTTTTAATAGTTTTTTTAATAGTAATAATAGCTAGCATTTCTAATAGTGCTTTACACATATTATCTTATTGATCCTCACAATACCTTGGGAGATAGGTGCTATTATTATCTCTATTTTTCAAATGAGGAGGAAAAAGGGCAGACAGAGGTTAAGTGTATTGTCCAAGGTCATAAGGCTAACTGGTGTCTGAAGTCGGATTTGAACTCAGGTCCCATGCTCTCTTTTCTGTACCTCCTAGCTACCTATGTCCAGGAGAATGTGATCAAGATGGTAAAGGGTCAAAAAATTATAAACATGTAGAATGTTTGAGACATTTGAAGATGTTTAGTCTAGAAAAGAAAAGACCTAAATAAGGTTGCTGCCTTGCAGTATTTAAAGGACTGTCATCTGGAACAGGCTACTAGACTTAGCATATGCCATATTGAAGACCAGTAGGTGAAAGTAACAGGGAGAAGTAGTTCAATGTAAGGAAGAGCTTTCTAATAATTAGAGCTGTCCATCAGTGGAGAAGACTAGGTTTTAAAGTGATAATCTTCCTTTCATTGGAAGCATTCAATCAGGGACCAACAAATTATCTGTTAGGAAGATGTGGGAAAGACTCTTGCATCAAGTAGGAGGTAGACCTCCATAGGTCCCTTCCAATTGTAATATTCTGTGAATTTTTAAAATAGAATTTCATGACTCCTCTTGAAATAATTAAAACTGACCTAGAACTGAGAAGGACCCTTCTAGATAGAAGCTCTGAGGCTCTGCTAAGGTCAGGAGCAGTACTGGAACAAATATAGTCCCATTTCATACCTGGCTACTCTCACTGCCTGTTCCCCTTTAAAATAATTCTTCAATCAAAGGCACAATTCCCTTTTGTGCAAGAGAGATGACTGCTTTCCAAGACAGGTGACACATAGAAGCAGATGACCTCCTAATTATTTCTGAGAGTCCTTTTCCGGCCTAGTAGTGATATGCCGGCCAAAAAAAAGAATTCTTTTTAATTTAAAAATGTTCCAACTTTGTGTTACAACTAAAATAATCCTTTCAGAACCTCTCCCTCTCATGTTTGATTGGGATGAGAGGAGGACACGCCCATGCAGACCAGGTAAAGAAAGAGGAGGTTGGTAAAGCACAAAAGAAAAATATTAGCAACTCAACCCTTCATGAGATTTATAGGCTAGCCTAAGATGCCCAGAAGAGCAGGGGCAGGTCATAGCATCTTAGAATCATAGATTTAGGGCTGGGACGGACCTCAGGAGCTGTTGAGTCCAACTCCCTCATCCTACAGATGAAGAAACTGAGGCAGAGAAAAGTAAAGTGATTGGCCAGAAAATGTCTGAGTCAGTATTCAAGTCCAGGTTTCCCTGACTCCAGGCCGACCCCATCTCCTGCTCCATCTTGCTCCTCAGTTAAGAAAAATCCTTTCCTGAATCTTGACAACATAGGAATGCAAAGGTCCTCTTTGTTTCTATAGATGCAGGTACTTCTGAGGCCATACCCCATTCATTGTTAGCCAGCCCCATGACAGTCCATAGAGCCAGCCTTCTTCAGGACTGCAAGTGACCCCAACTAGAGTACAAGTGACAGATCATGGTGTATTGGAAAAATTCTATACTGAGAGTCAAGGCAGGTGGGCACATACTAAGTTCTTAATAAACACTTACTGAGGGGCAGCTCGGTGGTGCAGTGGATAGCACACTGGCCCTGAAGTCAGGAAGACCTGAGTTCAAATGTGACCTCAGACACATAACGCTCATTAGCTGTGTGACCATGGGCAAGTCACTTAACCCCAGTTGCCTCATATATAAAAATAAATGCTTACTGAATGTAACTTTGGGTATATCACTTAACATCTATGGGCCTTATTTTCATCTGTAAAATCAGGGACTGGACTAAAGGAGCTCAAAAGTTTCTCCCAGCTCTGAGATTCTAAGACTCCAGGTAACTATTATGTCTTAGAGTTTTCTCCATATTTCTTTTTTGAGCTATTCAGGGTTAAGTGACTTGCCCAGGGTTACACAGCTAGTGAGTATCATGTGTCTGAGGTCAGATTTGAACTCAGGTCCTCCTGACTTCAGGGCCAGTGTGCTATCTACTGTGCCACCTAGCTACCCACTCTCCCATGACATTTATTAGGATCTTCAAATAGCAAGACTTTTTCTTTCTGTTCCTATTCTTACCCCTCCCCCCCAACTATTAGAACACTAGCATCTTCTCATTAGAATGAAGAACTTTGGGAGACCCTGCTAGGTTATGACTTGAAGTTCCAAATCTTAAACAGATCAAACTCTTAGAACTCTTGGTGATTCCGAAGACATATATCAACTTCATCAATTTACCCAAAGTCTACCTGCTTATCTTGATTTTCCTCTTAGCTTCTTGATACCAGGGAATTTGTCTGAGCTTTAAATGCCTGTATCTAAATGTCTAACCTTGCATGTAAACATATCATTCTGTCTTATTTATTTTCAGTTGATCTTTTGCCAAATTATGTTTATAAGAAATTAGGGCAAATATGGCTTTGTAGAATGTTAGAGCTACTTTGGATATCATTAGATCTAAACAATTCATTTCATAGAGGAGGATGATAAGGCCAAGGTCACAAAGTTATAGGAGCAGAGCCAATCAATCAGTCAATCAACTAGCCTTTGTTATGCTGGTGCGATGGTGTGATGGAGTATTGTGTATGATGAACAGAGAGAAGGCCAATCTGGCTGGACCAAACAGTTTGGAAGCAGAATGATGTATAAGGCAGGAAAGATAGGTCCTAGTCAGATTGTGAAGAACCCAATTCCCAATTCCAGTCCAGATTCCTTTATATTTTATTTTTAATTGTATTTATCTTTTATTCATTCCCCTTTTAATTCTTCTCAATCCCTTCTGGTGATATCATATACCTTTTAAAACTTGAACTTTTCCTTTCTAGGCAGCCCTCCCTTACATGTTTTACTTCAGTCTCTAAGAAAAGTAGAATTCTATTTTTCAGTTTTTAGATTTGGATTGAGTCTATTCTCAAAATAGACTGTTCAGCTAGAATACTACTTTTTCTATCAAATTGAAATGAAATTTAAAATAATTAAAAACACAGACATGGCCCATAAAATGTTGGAGGCAAATTTTTGACTTTACCGAATCCAAACAGGACTTTTTTTTCTATATATAGTAATATTGTTTCCATTATGCCAAATTGCCTCCCTGCAAAAAAAACAACAGAAAAAACTCTTGCTGAATAGGACACTGCTTGCAGAGATCAAATGGCTCTCTGCTCTGCTAAGAGAAAGTCAGGGCTTCTTAAACTTTTTCCACTTATGTCCCCTTTTTCCCCAAGAAATTTTTACACGACCGTGGGGCATACAGGTATATAAGATAAGTATACATATCAAACATCTACTGATAATAAATCATAAAGAAATTCATTTTAAAACAATTCTTTGGCATATGTATAATTTTACCATTTATTAAAGATGAAAGCAAATTTGCATACTAATGAAAGGGATGTGCTTGTTTATTTGTATATAAAGAATTAAATCTTGGCAGAGTATTAGATACTCATATTTTGGTTGTTCAGAGACCTTTCACTGTTGCCAAATTTTTCACAACCCCATATGAGGTTGCAACCTACAGCACAAGAAGCGCTAGAATAAGTTACCTCCACTTTGTTACCGTGCAATGAGGATGTGACTAAAGCTATGCTTGTCTCTCTTCTCTCTTCTCACAGGCTGCACTGGTAGGAGGAACAACTATGATCATAGGCCATGTTCTACCTGACAAAGAAACATCCCTCCTGGATGCCTATGAGAAGTGCAGGAACCTGGCTGACCCCAAAGTGTGCTGTGACTACTCACTCCACATGGGAATCACCTGGTGGTCTCCAAAGGTAACAGTTTCTCTATGTTGATTGTGGTTGTCTTCCAGTGTATGTTGCCATCAACATTGTAGCCAGTGGCTCTCTTGGGTGTTTATTATTACCTCTGTATGCCTGATCTAATAAGCTACACAGCTACACAAAACAAAAGAAAAATTAGCTCCAAGAAGTGGTGATGGGGGAAGGAGAGGGAGAAGGAGGATGGGCCTTTTCCCTAAGGTTGGTAGAGATTTGGTTTTCCAGCATGGTGCCTGGAGCCCTGGCCTCTTGTTGATTGCCCATCATAGATGCAATGTCTCCTAGTGATTGAATAGATTCTCTTCACAGTGATGTGGCTGATGGGGTAGAAGGGAAGAGGGATATACCCCTCCACTACCCTAAGAAGTTCCTTCTCAGGGCCAAGTTTTCCCTCCATTGCCAGCCCTACTAACAAAATTCACTGCAGAAATAACTGCTTAGTCTTTTAAGGAGCTTTGGGACATGGCCACAGGTTTGGTTTTTTGTTGGTTTGTTTTTCAACTAAAAGACACTTGTTTTCTTTTCTCCCACATTGGAAAAAAGAAAAGAAAAAGAAAACCTGATGACAAATTTGTCAAATTCCCATGTTGACCATGTCCAAAAATGTGGGTCTCCTTCATCTTTAGTCCATCAGCAAGCTCTCCATCAGGAGGTGGATAGTATGTATCACTAGCCTTCTCCTGGAATTGTGATGGGTCCTTAAATTAACTAGAGTTCTTAAGTCTTTCGGAATTATTTGTCATTATAGTATTGTTGTTATTGTATACATTGTTCTTCTGGCCCTGCTCACTTCATTCTTCGTCAGTTCATGTAAGTCTTCCCAGGTTTCTCTGAAACTGTTCTTTTCAACACAATAACATTCATTTTTTTCATGTACCCTAATTTTTTCAGCCAGACTCCAATGGGGAGGGCATCCCCTTGGTTTCCAGTTCTTTGCTACTACAAAAAGAGCTGCTACAAAAATTTTGAGTACAGAAGAATCGTTTTCTTCTTTCTTTCATCAGTTTTGGGGTAGGCCAGCATGGCCAAATTTTCGTCCTAGGAAATCCCAAGCTGTTCCTATAATTCTATGAGAGACAGGTCTTCCAATTTTATGAAGAGATGATTGAATATGAAAACCATAGTAGCAATTTACACCTTGTCACTTGTCATTGCATCCTTTATACTCTTCTTCCACTTAAGCATTTACCATCCCCAGAAAATCAACTGAGTTACATTTTGGCAAAATTGTTGCAGAACAGGTCCCAAACTGGAAGCTAATATTCTTTTCACAAGGATACAAGCCTACCATTGCTGGTAAGTCTAGGAATTACACTCACTTCCCAATTCAGTTACACAATTTTAACAAGCAGATATCATTTTTATAAAATTCTACTGCCTGTCTTGGTGCTTGCAGAGGCCTTCCCTAAGACAAAGACAATAGGGAAAGAAAAAGGAGAAAAAAATCAAGCCGCTGCCCCCACCCCCACCCCAAGGATAGCCTGGTCTCTACAGAGCTCCCAGAAGGGATGAAGGTTGTGGGGTTGACTGGAAGTCATTCCAGCCCCTCTTTGGATGAGTAACTAAATTGCTTTGTATTGGTGCTTATGTAGCAACATTGACCCAATGTGTCAAAAAAGGCTGTGGCAGTCATCTGTTTCCTCTCACACTAAAGGGCCCCTCTGTTCTGGACCCACACTGCAAACTGGATTTAATACTGGGGAGTAAAAATTCTCCTGAGTCCCTGCAACACAATAAAGCCCCCTAAATGTCTCCAGGGATCCTTGACACACCTAGGAAATCCAATTAGAGGTCTGCTGTTACTCCTCAACTGAGACAAGCAAGCTAATAATTTAAATGGAAAACAAAGCCCCAAAAGGGTGTGGGACTCCCAGGCAGGGATTAAGTACTCAGGGTTGATTACTCAGGGTTACTTAGAGTTTCAGGCAAACCTTATCCTATGGATCTACAGCCCCTAAGGATATCAGACAGGCTACCTAAACTCAGGTCACAGTAAGTCAAGCTGTCTAGGTCTGCTTAAAGGTAGGAAAAAAATGAGCATGGGCAGTCTCCCATGTTCCCATCATTGCTAGATGAATGGACAGTCACTAGTATTCTAGGTATGTAACCATCCATACTATTTATATCTTTTTCCATACTCGTAACAGGTACGTAATATAAGAGATATTGACATATTAGCATTCATCCATACAAAACTTTTCAAAAAGCTGGTTGAACTTGTAAAAGAAAACATAACAGAAGACTGACTGTTAATTACCCTCCAAAACAAAAGCAAAAAAAAAGCATGTTAATTTTTCTCCCACAGATTCCCATAATACTAGGGCATCCACAGATAGTCCTAGGTGTACTAGAGACAGCTGAGTGTCACAGTGAATAGAGTACAAGGCTTGGAGTCAGGAATACCTGAGATCAAATCTAGTTTACTAGCTGTGTCATTTAATCTCCATCTGCCTGTTTCCTCAGCTTGTAAAATGGGGATAGTAATAGAACCTACCTCACAAGGCTGCTGTGAAGCTCAAATGAGATAGGTAAAGTGCTTAGCACAGTGCTTGGCACATAGTAAGTGCTTTAAAAATTCTTGTTCCATGTCATTCCCTTCCCTGGATACAGAATCTCTTCTGAGTACCTGAGATGCAGATCTATCCCAGTTAAAGCCCCATCCCCAATATTATTAATAATTGATGGCATTAATAATGAGGTTGAAGATGACAGCAACACTTTGTAGGTTTCAGAGAGTGTTCTCTTACATTCTCTGGTTTGGTCATCACACAGAAGGCAATTTGGGGATTATTTCCCTGCTCCAGGTAACTTTTCTGTGTCTCAGGCTCCTTAAGTGATTTGTCAAAGATAACACAGTTGGTACACACTGAGGAAGGGAATGAAATACAGGTCATGCAGGGTCCCATCCATCAATCTTTCAAATATGTAATGTTGAATATATAATGTTATCCTTTCTTTCCATCAGGTGAAAGCAGAAATGGAGACTTTGGTGAGAGAGAAAGGTGTCAACTCATTCCAGATGTTTATGACCTACAAAGACTTATATATGCTTCGAGATAGTGAATTATATCAAGTGTTCTGTGCTTGCAAGGATATTGGTGTGATAGCCCGAGTCCATGCTGAAAATGGAGAACTTGTGGCCGAGGCAAGTATAGAGACAAAATTCAGAAAGGAGTGGGCAATGAAGGTAGATTTGGTGGTTGGACTTCTCAGCTGGGGATCTGAATTAGAGCCTTCTGGTTCCAGCTGCCAACTAGGTTGTAAGTTCTTCAAGGATAAAGACCCTCTTTTGTAATTCTTAAGTATCCCTTATGGTGCCTATTTAAAATCATAGTGTGATATTTAACCCCTCTTATTTATTATTTCTTAGACTAAAGTCTCCAATACCTCGATTGTGACTTGGTTCACCCTGGGCTATGCTTCCAAGCTCTGGCAGGTCCTACCCAATTGAAAAGACTTCAGATATAAGCCTAGTATTGGGCCATATGTCTTGCTTGTCCCCTAAGGATCAGCCTTGCTGTAGGTTCAGAAAGGCTTACACCAGGAGCAGCTTGGTGGTGCAGTGGATAGAGCACCAGCCCTGAAGTCAGGAAGACTTGAGTTCAAATTCGGCCTCAGACCAAACACTTGACACTTACTAGCTGTGTGACCCTGGGCAAGTCAATTAACCCCAGTTGCCTTAAAAAAGAAAAAAAGAAAGAAAGGCTTACACCAGATTGGCCAGGGGGTGACTAATTTTTCAGCCACAATGATTGTCCAAGATCATTTACCAATCTTGAAAGAGGTTGTATCAAGATAGAGGGAAGACTCATATCAATGAAATCTCAGATCCTTGATATATTATTTCACCTGCTTACTGATTACTTAGAACATATTTAGAAAAATAAAAGACATGTTCAGTCACTTAAAAATGTGAAATGCGGAAACTTATTGCCAAATGAGCCAAACCTAAGCCCCAAAGCTTTTCTCTTTAAAGAAAAAATGATGAAGAAAAAAGAAAAAGCTGCTGAGTTTTTGTGTAGTTCTGCCATTTGAGGTTGATTATTTTCCTCTTGGATCTCTTTTAAACAATTCCCAACTTGCTTTTTCTTTGCTATTTGTTCAGGGTGCCAGAGAAGCACTAGATTTGGGCATCACAGGTCCTGAAGGAATAGAGATCAGCCGTCCAGAGGAGGTAAGAAAAGTTTGTTGTGGCTTTTTTTTTTCCATCAGCTTTCACACAGGGACTTAGAATCTTGTGGGGTTAGAGACACTTACAAATATAAATTGGATTTTATATATTTTCCTCTTTACATGCGGGAAAATCTCAACTGACTGCTTCACAGTTTTATATTCTCAGGGTAGTTTAGTGTCCTAAATGATAATTTAGGACAAGTATGGCCTAAAGCTTCCAGAGAGAAATTTTCAGGGCGAAGCCATAACTAGCAAGCTTGGGTGGCAGTTCAGGCCACACCTTCAAACAACTTCATAACTCATAATGCAAAAATAATGCAAGCAGTGACTGGGACATTTGAGCTGGAGGATAGAACCGATGATTATAGTAGGGGCTCATAGATGAATACTACTAAGTAATCTAGGTACTAAGCTCAGTTGTTTCTATAGTATGCGTGCTAAATTTTTGCTGTCTTTAAATTTTGGGGCCTTGGAGCAAAGCCTCAGTCATTGTACTCTAATGACAACTCTGTCTCAGAGGGAACCAGAACAGTCCTATGTTGGCCTTCATTGAGAAACCAAAGACATGCACTAGGGGGTAGTCTGGGCAAAGCTGGATTAAGAAAGGGAAAAGACTGAAAAATACCAGAGCCCTTCCTCCTATTTCTGGACAATTATTTAGAAATCATATGGCTAGTAAGTATTGGAGGAAGGAATCAAACCCAGATCTCCTGACTCATAGTCCAAAGCCCTTTCTTTTCGAATATATACAAGGGATCCCAGACAACACAAGGAACCATAAGATGGATAATCTCTGTAAATGTGTATGGCATAAGCCCGACATGAGACTATACCTAGCACAATACCTTACATTCAAAAAACACTTGATTTGGGGATGGTGATGAATCTTGTTTCCTTCTGGTGTTGTATCTCCAAACAGCTGGAAGCCGAAGCGACCCACCGTGTTATCACGATCGCTAACAGGGTAAGCAGCATTTCCTCCTCTCTCCTGGCATCAGAACCCAACCACCCCAACATGCAGAAGTTATAACAGCTGCCTTTTGTAATTTATTCTTTATTATTCTCAGATACTTTGTTTGGTGTCCCTTTGCTGCCATCCCTCTCAAGATACAGCCCCATCCTATCAAAACTTAAGATAAAAACTGGTTCACTACCAAAGTATAAATAGCTCCCAATCAGTACTTCCATTATAAGGAGCTGTTTAAAGAGGGTGAAGAGAAGGTGAAGGGATAATAGAAAGTGTAGGGGAAAGAATGCCATACTTGGAGATTCCTTTCTGGCACAGGCAGTGGCTGTCTTTCATGATCCCCATCTCTACCTATTAGAACCCCTCTCTTTAAAACTCATTTCAAATGCCATCTCTTCCATGATGCCTTCCCCAACTCCCCAGCTCAAAGTTATAACTCCTTCCTCAAATTTTCCATAGCCATTTGGACCTCTCCTTTGTAATTAATTGCATTTATAGAATGAAGGATTAACAGATAGAGAGATGGAAAGGTCCTTAGAGATCACTGAGGGTCATCTAGTCCAATCCCCTCTTTTTACATATAAGGAAATTGAGGATAATTTAGGTTAAGTGACTTGCCCAAAGTCACGAAGTGACAGAGACAGAATTAAAAGCAAGCTCCTCTGATTCCAGATCCAACACTAGACCACACTGCCTTCAGCCCCATTAGCAGGGCCTATAGCTTGTTTCAAAATCTTTGTGTCCCCAGTACCTTAAATGTATTGAAGACTTTATGTTTGTTATGTGGACTGGAAAAAAAAGGCCACATCAAAGCAATATTTTGGAGAGCCAGGCTATCTGTCCACTTAGGTATTTCTTCTAATAATAACTGTAGTTTTAATCACATTTTCTCCCAATAACTTATTCCTAATTGAGAGGAACTCTGGACAGTCAAGAAAAGTCCCTTATTTTACAGATGAGGAAACTGAGGCCTAGAGAAGTTAAGTGATTTATCCAAGGTAATAGAACAGTTTGGTAGAGTAGAGAAAAGTGCTTGATCCAGAGTCATAGGACCTGGGGCTCACCTGGTTCTTCAACTTTTTAACTATGTGACTTTGTGGACCTCAGTTTCCTCTTTTGTAACATGAGGGGAATGGGAGTCAGACTCAATTACCTCTGTGGTCCTAGTGCCAAGTCTATGAGCTAGTTAGTGGCAGAGCTGTTCCTAGCACCCAAATCTCTATATCCAAGAGCAGGCTTATTTGGGCTAAACCCTATTTGTTTGAGTTTGACTTAGGATATGTTTTGCCTATTTAAAATGTCAGCCATCAGAGGTTAGCCCCCATGGTTTCTGATGCTCTGTATGCCATCCACAGTGTGCTTAGTCACTTAAGGCTTTATTAGTAAACTTCAAGTCATATTCAGACAAAAACATTCTCTTATGATAAATTATTGATGTCCATTTTCCATAGAAATTTTCTTAAAGTCCATTTCCTTTTTTCCCTTAAAGTCCATTTCTGATATAAGGGTAGAAAATGGGCAACTTAAATACTTAACAATGACAGTGGTCAGTCTCTCACTAATCTACCCATACAGAATGACCTCCATGGCACAGGACAGAGAATGGAGTTTAAACATGCTTGGTTAGTGGGTAGCAGCCTCCCTGTTTATATACAAAGGCTTCAGCCACAATTTGAGTTCTTTCCATGTCAACTCTATGGGCAGGGCACAAAATTATCAGGTCTGTCATGTCCACTTTGAGAGGGGAAAGGAGACTAGATTCCCCAACGGAGTTCTTTTTGTAATGGAGTTATTTTTATTAAAGTTATTTTTCTTGTGAAGATGACCTGGTTCTACTTCTTATGCCTGGTTTGTTGAAAGACCCATCGTGTGAGAACTGTGTTTCTTGTGTTTAGACTCATTGCCCAGTTTACCTGGTCAACGTTTCCAGTATCTCTGCCGGAGATGTCATTGCTGCTGCTAAGATGCAAGGTAAGCCTGCAGGCCGGAGTGGAAGTAAGGCTGATGAAACTCAGCTTAGGTCCTAGGATTTAAAAAGTGAGTGGAGTTAAGGTCGGCTGGCTTCTTCTCTAACTTTTACTTTGAAGGGGCTAATTTGGGCCTGCTGGGATTTCCCAGAACATTGAGCACCTCTCCTATTTCTAATGACCCTTTTCTTCCAGTCATCTTACACTATCCCAGGTTTGGACAAGTTGAGACCAGCATTCTCTCCGCCCATATGTTTCTAGAGTTGTATACAAATACATGAAGGATCTGTGATTTCACCAGTATGAGATCTCCCTCCACCAACCTACTATGACTTATAGGCTCATAGGATCGTAGTTCCAGAGCTGGAAGGGAACTTGGAGCCTGTCTAGTCAATCCCTTCGTTTGACAGGTGAAGAAACTGAAGCCTGCAGAGTTCAAATGAGTTGCCTAAGGTCATAAAGGCAGTAAGTAGCAGAGCTGGGATGCTTTTTCCACTGAATATAAATCCTAGGGAGTTCCAAGGCACATAGAAGTTAAATGACTCCCCTAGGATTCCATAGTTAGTGTCAGAAGCAGAATTAGAACCCAGGTCTTCCTGACTCTGAGTCCGGCCCTCTATCCACTACACACCATAATGGTTCTATAGACTCAGAGTTGTAGAATTTTAAATCAGGAAATGACCAGTGGATTTGTTGTTATTGTTGTTCAGTTGTTTCTGACTCTTTGTGATCCCATTTGGGGTTTTCTTGGCAAAGATACTGGAGTGGTTTGCCACTTCCTTCTTCAGCTTATTTTACAGATGAGGAAAATAAGGCAAATAGGATTAAGTGAGTTTCCCAGGGTCACACAGCTAGTGTCTGAGGCCAGATTTAACTCAAGTATTCCTGACTCCAGGTCCAGAGCTCCATCCACTGAGTCATCTAGCTGCCTTAGAGGTTGCTTAGAGACATGGAAATAGTATTTCTAAGTGGCAGGACCTGAACCCAGACCTCCCTGACTCCATGATCATTCTTAGCTATTACATTAAACTGCCTCTCTTGGAAAAGATAATCATTTATTTGTTCTGAGAGCAATTAAAAATTAATAACATTAATTATCCCATTTATTTTCAAATTAAGAATTCCTTCCATTCTACACACAAATTCTGGGTGAGTTTTTGACATGTCTTAGGGCAAAAAAGTCAGGGACAACTTGTCTTTTAGGAAAAGAACTATAACCAGCTAGCTCATAGACAGAATCTAGGCAAGTTCCAATTTGAAAATGTATTTTGTTTCTACCCATCTGGCACACCTGCCCCATACCAGGTGCCCCAAAGTTCATTTGTAACTCAGTTTGAAATTTTGATCACCTTTTTTTCCATAGAAACAATGCTATAAATGATGGAGGGTAGGGTGGTGGTGGGTGAGTTATTAAAGAGAGGCTTCCAGCTGTTTGGGGAAACAAAGCAAAAAAAGGAAACAAGGTTTATCACTTCCCCAAAATAGTGTGTTTGAGTGCCTACTATATACAAGGCATTGGGGGCAAAGGGTACATTTCTTCGTCTCTTTTCCAAAGTTAAGATTTGTCATTTTTATCCAACATTTTGTTTAGTTTCCTTTTACATTAATTATTAATTAGCTAATTAATCAAAAGTATGGGGAAAAGGCAGGCCTTGAGGCTAAAGTAAATGATGAGCTTCTCATTAAACACTTCCTAGATTATCAAGCTTACCTGCACCCAAGATGAAATGTTTTCCAGTTGAAAGTGGGAGTAGAAGAAGGTAGTCTTTTGCATTACCAAAAGATGGTCAGTTTAGACAATGATGCTGACACCAAGATTATGAACTTAATCACTATTTGATCATCTCTTCCGTTATTCCCAACTTCCATTGCTATCCTCCTCCAAACTTGTCTATTTCTGTCAAGGCTAAGAACATCTTCCAATCCTTAAGAGTCACCCATCCCTAATTCTTTTCATCTTTCCTTTTCCTCACCCCTACATCCAATTGTTTGCCAAATCCTGTTGATTCCACCACCACAGGATCTCTCATCTCCTTCATAGCTAGCAGTGACCTCTCCCTCCTGTGAGCTTGGGTAGCGTTTTCTTAAGCACTTACCACATTCTAGAGAGGTAAGAGGGTTCACTGAAAAGAGTACTGGACTGAGGATACCTGGGTTTAAGTCTTGATTCTGACTTTTATTTGCTTTTTTGACGCCAGTAAGTCACTCAGTTCCACTGTCTGTAAGAGGAAGATCATGGAATTATTCCTCGGATCTCATTGTTGTCAGGAACACTAAAGAAATGAAAGCTGTTACTATCCAAAGTCATTTACCCCCTAGGATCACATGATCATAGATCCAGAGCTGAAAGAGACTTCAGAGGCTCTTCATTTTACAGGTGATGGTCAAAGAGGTTAAGTAATTTAACCAAGACCACACAGGTAATAAGTAAGCAGAAGCAAGATCCAACCTCGTTTTCCGACTTTGAATACAGCCAGCCTTCTTCCTTCCTTTCTTCCTTCCTTTTTTCTCTTTTCTCCTTTCCATTCTTCCTTCCCTCTTCCTTTCCTTCCTTCTTACCATCCTTCCATCATTCCTTTCATCCTTCTATCCTTTCTTCCATCCTTTCTTTGTTCTTTCCTCTTTCCCTCCTTCCTTCTTTTCTTCCTTTTTTCTCCCCTCCTTCCTTTCTTTTGTCCTTTCTTCCTTTTTTGCTTCCTTCTCCCCTTCTTCCTTTTTTCTTTCCTTCCTTTCTCCCCTCCTTCCTTCTTTCCTTTCCTTGTTTTCCTTCCTCTTCTCCCACCTTCCGTCTCTCTCTCCTTGTCTTCAGATTATAGAACTAGAAAGGATTTCAAAAGTCATTTAGTACTACAGCCTCCTCATATTACAAGTGAGGAAACTAGGTTAAGGGGCTTCTATAAAAGACATACACAGGTGGTAGGCATTAGGAACATACAGGATACTGTGTATTCAGTATAGCTTGGTGTGCTCATAAAATTATCATGTTAGTCCTAATAAATTTAAAGGTGTTATTAACTCATATAATAATTAAAATTTTGCTAACTGAATTTCCTTTTAAATGTTTATTGATGAATTGCTTATTAACTAATTTTATTTATTGATTAATTGATAAATATTAATATGATTGATTAATCAATAAAAGCTGGCATTTATACAGCACTTTAAGGTTACAAAATACTTTACAAATATTAGCTCATTTGATCTTCACAAGAACATTAGAGGTGGGTGCTATAATTATCCTCATTTTACAGTTGAGGAAACTGAGGCAAACAGGTTATGTGACTTGCCAGGGTTACATAGCTAGTAAGTATCTGAATCAGGATTTGAATGTAGGTCTTCCTGACTCAAAGAGTCCAGTGCTTGTACCCACACCAAACTATGTCCTGCTGAGCTGGCCTATGTTAGTTTTTGCCAAACCAGGAGAAGAAACTATTAACAGTATAGTAAAACAAATTAAAATGTGCTTTCTGAACTTAGTAGCATACAAATTATAGAAATACAGGAAAAATGGTTTTCAGTATACTCAGGAAAAAGAAACCTAATCGAATGCAACTTTTCTCTCACAGAAGAACTTTGATCAATCTCATTTTTTGAGCCATTGCTATCATCACTTTCCTTTTTTGCTTTAGTCATACTGCTGTAGAAATATGAGCTGTTTCAAAATGGTGAGCTCTCATCTTCACGTACTTCTGAAAACCGGAAGCTTAACTGAACTGAAACAGCTCTAATGTTTTTGCGTGTTCAACTGATTTCTTGATTTGGTTTATTTCCAAATCCCATTCCATTTGTTCCACATGTTGCAGAAGATGGTGGAATCTAAATCAGGCAAGATAGGGAATATCCTCGGCTTACAAATAGGCCTCGTTATATGACAGGATATCCCAGACTATATTCCTGGACCAAACACCTAAAGATAATCTCCATTCTCCATTTGAAAGCACCTTTTCCACATAAAGCCTTCAATGCAGTGTTCATTTTATAAACCAATGAAATGCAAGTGCAGAACTGTCATCATTATTTCTGTCTTTGAATATTAAGTACAGGAAATTTGTAGAAGCATGTATTTGGCAATTCTTTCTGTTTCTTAGTAAAGTTTTTTTTTTACTTTACTTCTGTACTTATAAGCAAAGATACACCTGGATTCTCCAAAATAGTTTGGTAAAAACTGGCTAACAAAAATTTGATTCAATGAAATGTTTGCTTTTAAAAAAATTGGATTTACAGTGCTCAATAATGTTCTCTTATCCTTTTCTCAGGTAAGGTTGTCTATGCAGAGACCACCACTGCACATGCCACATTGACAGGCTTACACTATTACCACCAGGACTGGTCCCATGCAGCTGCTTATGTCACAGTGCCCCCTCTGAGGCTGGACACCAACACTTCCACCTACCTCATGAGTCTGCTAGCCAAGTAAGGAACCTACTGTGCTGTCTTCATGTCATCATCACCAGCATGAATTACAGCGTGTGTGTGTGTGTGTGTGTGTGTGTGTGTATCAGTATGGGAATTTATAGATTATTGAGAAGACTTTATCTAGGGATGAAGAATCTACCACCCATAGGACCACATTGGACACCAGTTTAATTTCACCTCGCCCATAGGATAAAATTGTTCTGGCTGTCATGTATAGAACCCAAAAAATAAGTTCAGACTAACCTATTGAATGTCCATTCAGGGTAAATGTGTCTGAAGGTTTAAGGATAAAAAAGCAATTGTCAAATTGTGACCAAAGGTGAACACAGAGGGCATCAATAAGTCATTCTGAAACCCACAGCCCAAGGGATGTCACAGCACAAAATGTCAGAACCTACTTGAGCACCTCTACTTCAGTATTCTTTCCTAATTTTTTTGTGTGTGTCTGTCCTTTCCTTTTACCTTCATCTCTGTTGTGCTACTCATCCATCTATTTGTCCATCTGTCATGTAACATTGTACATATGTTATAAGGGCTGGCAACCTATGAAGTGTATAACATAGTTGTCCATGAGTGATAATTCTATTGGGAGGCTAGTTGTGAGTTTCAGAGAGAGCAGATGCATACAGGTTGTGGCTTAAAGGCTGGTGGATACGCCTTGGACAAACTGTTCCATGTGTCTTACCGCTCTCCCCTTCTTTCTAAATATCTATCGTCATTTTCACATGAGGCAGCTCATTTCCCCAGGCCGGAAGCCAAGTGAAATAAATATCTTGGCCCTATGGAGCAAGACAGAACAATGCTAAGAGGGTTCAGAGAAGCAGATTTCTGCCGGATACTAGGGGAAAAAAATTCCTCAACAGTCAGAGCTGCCTGAAAGTGGAATGGGATGTCTCAGAAGGTAGTGAACTCTCAATCACTGAAAGTCATGAGACAGAGATGGGGTGGCCACATGTTGGGGGTATGGTAGAGAGAATTCTTTTTCACCTGCAGTTGGGCAAGATGACCTGGATGTGAGATCTCTTCCGACTGAGTTTCTTTGTGTCACTTTCTTTTCTCTGTGTCTCCTTTCCCTTTTCTTTTCCTATCCCCTGTTCCCTAATCTACTCCTAGTGTCTGTCCCTTCACTGACCATAAAATGGAATTGAAGGAAATACACATACACATACATGCGTGTACATCCACATATGTGTTGTGTGTATATACATATACATACACATATATATGAATACAGGGGTGTTGAGGTTAAAGTATATATATGTGTGTGCATATGTGTACATGGACGTGTATATATACACATACACATATATTTAGTAATATCCCCATTTGTCAAATAAAGTTTTATGTTCCTTTTTTATAAAGGGAAAGTTAAGCATTTTAAATTGCTTTCTTTAAGAAAAAAGCTTTTCCCTTTAATGAGTCCCTTATTGTAACTGATAAAACTGCAACCATCCTTAAAAGCTGGGCCCAGTGGCCACCCAGTGGCCTAATGCACACAGTACTGACCTAAGAAGTGAAGCATAAGCAGAGTGATCCCACGGCCAGACTGGGCACTGACCCATAGGTTGGTTGTGGCTCCTATCATCCAGGAAATTTCTGACTCTGAAAGGTAAGGTAGGTAAGATTCTCGGTAAGAAGATCAACCCCTCCAGGGTTCTAGGCATGTGTTTCTGAGGGCTACGATTTGGTGACCCTGTGGCACCTATATACGGTGGCATAAGTCCAAGAGGTGGATTGTCTCGTCTTTCTTTTTCCCTTTTTTTGGTCTGGACCCATAATTTCATTGATATAAAGAACTCCCAGTGAATAAACTCCCTCAACCAATGCAGAATAGCAATAGATTTGCAACTGGTAGTCTTTTACAATTACTTGGAGCACTGAGAGGTTAAATGATTTGCCCAAAGGCACCTAGTCGATGTGTGTCATGGGCAAGACTTGAACCCAGGTAGTCATGACTCTCTTTATTATGCCCATTGCCTCTGAGATTTTCTTTAGGAGTAGATAATTAAGAGAAACAGGAATAGAACACATATTCCTCAACTTTTAAACAAAAACAGAATTGTTCATTGAGAAAATGACATATCCATTGATTGGCATCTTCTCTTTTTGTAAGCAGTTGGAGGAAGGATTAAAAGAAATACAAACTCTTTATTATACATTCAGTACCTTTCTTGCTACTTCACCATTATAAACTCCATTTACCTAGATATTTGCTTTTCACTGAGTATGGTGGTGTATACCCATAATCCCTGCTACAGAGGAGGCTGAAGATGGTGGATCTCTTGAGCTCAGGAGTTCTGAGCTGCAGTAGAGCTAACCTCAATCAGATGTCTGCACTAAGTGTGGCACTAATATGATGAACCCCTGGCAGCAGGAGGCCATGAGGCTGCCTAAGGAAGGAAAAACTGATTCAGGGCGGTAATGGAGCAGGTCAAAGCTTCTTTGCCAGTCAGTAGTGGAATCGGGCCCATTGGTGACTGCTGCATTTTTAGCCTAGGCAAGCTAGGAAGATGTTATCTCAAAACAAAACATTAACAAATAAATTTTGCTTTACTTTTTACCTAGAGGATGTTCATGAGTTTTCCCTTTAAAAGATTTTTAAGGAATACACTGAGAATCAAAACAGAGCTTGAGTGGAAAGAAGCTAAAGATTTCAGAACTGATGAATGCCATTGGTACAGCTTATGGGCCCAGTGCTGGTTCTTTTGAATGCCCTGGAATCTAGGACTCTTTGTGTATCAAGAGATTCAAGATGAGCTTCATCAGTGGAGCTCATCCTAAGCAGAAAGCCCATATACTAATGCCAAAGGTTGGCACCTCTGGCCCATTGCCACTCCTTTCAATAAAGAAGCCAATAGAAAGAGATCACTTATACTGTATCCCAAGTATCATCTCTCTTCTCCTGTACTCTCTTCTGGTACATGCAGTGCCTACTTTTCATTCATGATACCCACATTTGTCCCTCCCTAATTAATATTGAAAGGCAATGTGGCATAGTCAATAGAAAGCTCAGAGTCAGGAAGAACTTAATCCAAGACCCACTTCCAACATATATTGGCTGTGTGATGTTTGCCAATTCATCTCATCCCAGTACCCTTGGCAGATCTCTTAAGACTAAGTTTTAGAGCAGGTGTCTACTTGCTTTGGTAGGAGTTTCCACACTAGGAGTAACCAATGAAATCACAGATCTAATCCAAAAAGGTAAATAAGAACCAAATTTCATCTCTTGCCATCTTTAATGATTCATTCTGAGATTTTCTATCAGTGTTCCTAACAAAGGCAACAATAAAGGTAACAGCTGTGTACATTCAGGCTCCTGCCTTAGAAATTCTCAGAGAGCTGTTTTGAAGCATCTTTTGAAGTCTACCAATGAGCTGCTAATTGCTTTTTATGGTGAAGTATAAAGTCCCTGTTGCACATTATCATGAAAGTGTCAAGTAGGCCCTATGTACTGAAAACTGAGAAAGGCAGACTCCAGTGACATGTTGTGATTCTGCTAGCATTGCTTTGGTCCAATGCTGAATAACTGTACTTTGTAGTTTTGAGTAAACCGAGGAGATAGGGAAGGTAATATGTCAAGTCAACCTTTTCTTCTAAAAACTGCTTATTAGTTTAAAAAGAAGATGAAGAAAAAGAAAAACAACCATCAATCATCAGTAAGTATTTATGGAGCATCAACTACAGTGCTTTGAGTGTAGCTATAACATCACTGGAATATTTTGAATGTCCCACTTGCTGCAGGGAAACTTACTGAAAGTAAAGAAGGCATTAAGGCACAGCTTTTTAAGGAAATCTGGATCATCCAATTTGTCCCCAGTCCACCTGAAAAACCCTTTTCAATCCTAAGATAGCAGGGAAAATTAAACTCAAATTTCAATTAAATTATGATGGCCATTTTTAAGATCAAATTTGTAAAACCTGTAGATGTTGGGTTTTTGGTTTTTTGTGGGAGGCTTCAGTGTAAAGATAAAAAACATAAGTAAAATGTTTGTAATGATTTTTTAAATTATACCTGTGATTTCATTGGTATAGAGAGCTCCCAATGAGGAAATTTCTTCTACTTATGCAGATTGGTACCTGCACTACAATTTATAGTCCTAGACGATTTCCTGAGCTCCATAGAGGTTAGGTGACTTGCTCAGGGTCACGTAACCCTAGGCAGGCCTTGAACCCAGGCTTTTCTGATTCCAAATTAAGCCTCCTGTCCACTATGCTATAGTGCCTCTCTATTTCAAAAAAAATGTATTTTAAAAGAGAAAAAGTATTTACAGAATAGAATTATAATTTTTGTGTGTTGTTTATATAGATGTGTTCATTGAGGTTCCTTGCATAAGCAAAGTAATTTTTGCTATTTTAAATGAAGTTGCAGGTTAGTTGTTATACTCTTACGTTATTATTGGTCAAATATATAATATAATCGTTGTTCAGTCCTTGTTTGGATATATACCTCTCCTGTTGAGATTTCTAACCGTTTCAGATTAATTCCTCGACAGGAAATAAGCTGCTTTTTAGCACTTTGGCCAACCAATAGATAAGTAGCAGCTAATTTAATCTGTTACTTATCATGTCCTTCTATCCCTTCAGTGACACTCTGAACATTGTAGCTTCTGACCATCGGCCCTTCACCACAAAACAGAAGGCAATGGGCAAGGAGGATTTCACTAAGATCCCTCATGGAGTGAGTGGTGTACAAGACCGTATGAGTATCATCTGGGAGAGAGGCGTGGTAAGTTTTTTGGGTCTCCTGATTCTTTTTTTTAATTTCCCTGTTTCCTACCTCACATTGTTTTCATTCTGAACGTGTTGCCTAAGAAGGTTTTTAGAAGTGCTCCATCAGTTTATTGCAATAGCTTCTTATCCAAAAAATCTTCCAAAGGCATTGATTAATACAAAAGAGTACAATAGGTAAAATAGTGCCCCAAAGCATAGTTCTATGCGGGGCTAAGCCTTGCAATAATCCCTGTCTCACTCAGGCCTAATCATTTACCACCGCCAAGGTACAGGAGAGGTTTGGGTTTGGGGAGATTTTTTTTAGCCATTTATTACCGCCATAAGCAGGCTAATTTCTTCAGTTGCTATTTTAGTGAGGACAAAAGCAGGGCAGATAGTTATCACTGGATCATAGATTTAGCACTGAAAGGGACCCACCAAGAACCCTGTTAACCACCTAGGTTCAAGTGAACTATCTAAGGTCACACAGGTAGTCAATGGCAGAATCAGAATGAATCCAGCTCCTCAGACTGAATCCAACATTCTTTCCTACCATTTTGCCCTGCTTCGCATAAGGTTTAAGTAAACCTTTGCCACACAGCAGCAATCTGGATCATGATGTCAGGGGAGGAAGTGTTGATTTACATCTTTCCCCATCCTTCAGTCATTAGGAATCTGGTGGGAGGGGGGCAGTTTAAGGACAAAGGAATGCTTGAGAATTCTTCTCCACTGGAAGAGGCTTCATTGATGAGACTGAGACCTAATTTGAAGGCCTCAGACCTGTCCATCTAGGTGAATATTTTTGTTTCTGATATGCCGCAAAGAACAGCTTAGACTATGGGGCCCAGAATTCAGTGCTATATTATTTAGACTATAACCTGCCCAAAGAGAGTATAGTATAAGTTAACAAAGGCGAAGACATCTGCCAAGGGAAAGGATAATCTTTAATGTAAAAATCAAAAGCCTTTCTCATTTCTCAGAGGACAAGAAAAATTGAAGTTAATTAAACATTTCATTTAAATTTATGATAACTAGCCATATTAGCTTTAGGTAAAATTCATATTAGCATAGAACTATAATTTTTATGTGCTGTATATACGCAGCTATATTCATTGAGAGCCTTTATATAATCCAAGTGTACATTTATGTCCATTTAACAGGATGTGGAACAGAATTTTTGCCATTTTACGTGATTTACATTATAAATGTTAGCTGCATCTTTGTTTTAATGGCACATGATTAGTCAGATCTTTGATATATTTAATTAAGTCTCTATTCTTGGCCAAAAATATAACACATGGAAGAATGGTGAAAATACGTACCTTAGTGACCTGTGAATGTTCAGGAAATAGGCCCCAAGGATGGGAGTTGAAAACAGAAATTACAAAAGAGTAGGACAACTATATTTTCAGCTATACAGATTATACATACAGTCACATACAGACACATTGTTACTAGTTTGCCATCATCAGATTATACATTTCTCTTAGTTACAAAGGATATATATTACAATGCTTTTCTATTCATTGCCATGGATTTATACCTCACAGCCCTTTGGAACACTGGTATGCATTTTTTAAATGGCTGGATGGGGTTAGGCTATATGCAATGCTTATGAAATAAAGCAAAGAAACCAAGTACAGCCTTAGTCTCATAAAGACCATGCTCTCCCTAGCCAAGTTAATAGGCCTCTTAAGGAATAAAGAGAAACAATGGAGATTGCATGGTTTTATGCAGGCATCTCATGACACTATGATTTATTCTTCTAATTGTCATTTTTTTCCAGGTGGGAGGAAAGATGGATGAAAACCGTTTTGTGGCTGTGACTAGTTCAAATGCAGCCAAGCTTCACAACTTGTATCCCCGAAAGGGTCGCATCATCCCTGGAGCTGACGCTGATGTAGTTGTGTGGGACCCAGAGGCTACAAAGTAAAACCAGACCCCAGGCTTTAAGGGACTTGAGATTTTAAGAGAGCTGGTGTTCTAGAATAAGGGCTGGCAAAACAGAAACTTCACCCATTTTTGTGTAACTGGAGCCAAAAATGGTTTTTATATTTTTTTAAAAGTTTGTTGTATTTTAAAATGGAAGCCTTGACTTGGCCCTCAGGCCTAGTTTGCTGATCCGTGTTCTAGAACTCTGGGGTTAGAAGGATGAAGGGACTTGAAGCATTGAGTTAATTCAATTCCATAAAAATTTTAAGACCCCACTATGTTCAGGGCACTATTCCTAGGTGCCAAGGATACAAAGATAGATATGAAACAGTTCCTGCTTTCCAGGAGCTCACCATCTAAAGACATGCACATGAATACTTATGATACAAGAAAGAGAGTAAGATCAGTGTTAAAAAAAAAAAAAGAAGAAGAAGAAGAAGAAGTCCAGGGAAATTATTTTAAACCTTTTCTTAAGCTAAATAAGAGTGTTCAGTCTTTATCCAGGTGGATTATTTGGGGGTGGAGGGCAGGGTTGGATTGGACCTCTTATTTCATTTAGCACAGGGAACTTTCTCTACAGAGGTAGACTAATATCTTCTTTGTTAAGTTCTAGTCTTGGTGAGTTGCCTAGAACACTAAAGAGGTAAATGACTTGGCCAGGGTCACAAAGCCAAAACGTGTCATAGTTGAGACTTAAATCTAAGTCTGCCCTGACTCTGAGGTGGGCTCTCTTATTATTACCTGCTACTTTCTGAGTGGCTGATTAGCTAAAATTAATCACTTGTTAGTGGTTCTTTCACTGTATTCTTAGATTAGGATGGCAATCCATAGTAACTTTTCTAGAATTTAATAGCACCTCTGGGTATAAGCCCTATCCGCAAAGCATCTTGTATTTTACCTGTGACACCAGCATCTCTCTCCTCCCTCCAGGACCATTTCAGCTAGCACTCAAGTGCAAGGAGGAGATATAAATTTATATGAAAATATGCGCTGCCACGGGGTTCCTTTGGTCACTATCAGCCGAGGAAGAGTCGTATATGAGAACGGAGTCTTCATGTGTGCTGAGGGCACAGGCAAGTTCTGCCCACTTCGATCCTTCCCAGATACCGTGTACAAGAAGCTGGTCCAGAGGGAGAAGGTAAGAGTTGGAGAGGGGTGGAGGAGTATGTGCTTGGGCTGCTTACAGAGATGTCGTGGGCGAATTCTCTGTTTCTCATAAATGCTGGTACCCCTAACTTCCTTCCAAATCCTTGCACAGCCTGCCTGAGGCCTTGAATGGCTTAAAGTCTTTTTTCTTTCATTCTTCAGCCCCATCTCACTTGGGCAAAAAAAAAACAACAGAAAGAATAGAAAATGTCAGTGGGGCAAAATGGAATTCAGGAGAAAGAGCTTCTGTGATTCTTCTAGCAGGAAAGTAAATGGGAGTATTCTCAGCACCCATCCTCAGATACCAGAGTGGTGGGAAATTGCTGTTCTAGCTTCCAAGTAGGATTCAATTGATCTAGGTAAATTTCTGCTGTATTCTGGTGATTGCCCAGGAGTTACTATATTCCCTGAAACTCTGTTATGAATATACTTAATGGATTGTGGATATGCAAGCATTAGATAGGGCTCTACTAAAACCCTATGCTTCCACAGCATCTAAAGTTATCACAGGCAATCTGAATCATGGATAGATCAGTCCTACAGGTTCATCATAGCCCTGACACCCAAGCTTTTTCCCTAGGGCTCCTGGCAGGCAATTGAATGGGATTGCTCCAGAGAAGACTATTCACTTCTATATTGCTTAGGAATATAGAGGTAGCTAAATGGTGCAGAGTGCCAGATCTGGAATCAGGAAGACCTAAGTTCAAATCCAGCCTCAGACACTTACTATAACTGTGTGACTCTGGGCAAATCACTTGGCATCCATCTGCTTCAGTTTCTTCATCTGTAAAATGTAGGTAATAGAGATAATAATACTCAGGGTCATTAGAAGGATAAAATGAGAAAATATTTGTAAAGCACTTTGCAAATCTTGAACAGCTATGTAAACGCTAACTCTTATTAGGAAGAGGCTTAACATCATTTTGAGTCTAGCCCTGGGTGTCCTGATATTAATACAAATGGACAACTCTGGGCCCTGGGTGGTTCAGATCTGTCAGCCATTTCAGACTTGTCACAAGGATGAGGGTACCAAGGGACTGAAAGCAATTTAGTGAAAGAAATATATTCCTGACAGCACTTTGCTACCTCCCCTACTTCCTATCAGAGCTTCCCGAAGTAATTTGTAGTAAAGTATGGATTCTACAGTTCAACCTAATGTTACTTTTTTTTTTTGCATAGGCAATGGGGTTAAGTGACCTGCCCAGGGTCACACAGCAAAGTAAGTGTTATGTGTCAGAGGCCAGATTTGAACTCAGGTCCTCTTAACTCCAGGGCCAGTGCTCTATCCACTGCACCACCTAGCTGCCCCATCAACCTAATGTTACTTTAAAATGCTTCTAGCCTGACCTGTTCCTAGTACTTCCTTGCATATTCTGCTGGTGTCCTTGTCAGACATTCAGGATCCCTTACTCCTGTCTCTAACTTCTGTCCCAAGAGTCCTCAAGCCCCAACCCCCATAACCCGCATCCATCAAAAAGTTAAGAGGTCTCCTCTCCCCACCCACGTATTGAGAAGCCCCTTGTTTCAGGAGCATGGAATCCTTTAGAAAATCCATCCTCTTTTCTTACCCCCAACTTCTTCATCTGCTTCTACATTATACTCAGAGTCATGGAATATGAGAGTCGGAAGGGACTTTAGTGGTCATCTAATCCAACCCAGGACTGAAAGGAATCGTACCTATAAACAGGATAAGTAGTCATCTATCTAGTCTATGTTTGAACTTTTAATCAGGACTTATGTCTTAATTATTGTTTTTCCCTGATATTCTCCCACTAGTACAATGCTTTGAGCATAATAGGTACTCAGGGTTGGGGGTTTTTTTGGTCCACTGGCTTCCTGCGTGTATATGATGCCAGAGACAATTTCCAGGTAAGAGGAAAATTGACTCATCTCAAGAGTCTGACACTGGCCTCGGGCCTACAGTTCTTACGTACAGGTGCCCATTTAAGTAGGAATACCCAGGAAGAGGTTATTTTCTAGGTTTTTATTCAAAACAAACTCAGGGAAGATGTTTTCTCAGGCACTCCTTCTGAGCATCTACACCACTGTAACTGCTAGTTGCCCCAGGACAAAATTGTTCCTCCATCTCCAGTTCTAGAGTCAGCTCTAGATTGCAGATTCTGTCTCTCAGGGACTTGAGTTGGGAGGCCAGTTCTCACCCCCAACCCTCGTAGGCATCTGGTATTAACCCCTACTTCTACCCCCTCCATGTTCATAAGAACCTCTCCACCAAGAAGCAGAAGGTTGAAAGTTTGTTTATTAATTAAAAGATATAATTATCACCACTCTGATACTCAGATTTCGAGGGATGAGGCATTTTCAGATAGGCCTTTTGTTAGAGCTCGGAGAACAAGAAGGGAATTTAGGATTGTCTATTGTATAGCAGAATTCCCCTTTCTATTAGCCAGAAACCTCCCTTGATCTACAAATTTATTGTATTCTCTTTGGGTTTCCACCACTGCATGATGTTTAGATCCCTCATACTGTTAATGAGGTGAGGAACATTATTTAATCTCAGTGGATGAATTTCCTACCTCATTTATACAGATCTTCAGTAAGGCAAAAAGGAAAAGTGAAACTAATTCTTTGAACCGAAAGATTAAAGCTATAATCCTATACCCTGAAGGTTCAGAATGTTCCCAAACACTGTTTAGGAGCCAACAGAGATGAAGAGAAGCAATCCAATATCACATCATCTATACAAAAGAAGATTTTGGTTGCTAGGCAATGCATATGTTTGAAAATTGAAGATATTAAATACAAAAGCAAACCAGGTAGTTATAGTCCCCCCCCCCGCTATGATACTATTCTGAGACAAGGAAAAAATACAAGAGGCATGAACACAGCCTCTAAGAAATATTTCACATTGAGCTAGAAGAATAATGCAAGATATTAACATTTGTGATGAAATAATCTCATCAACATTTGACAACAATTCTATGAATTCCTATAATAGGTCTTTCCTCCCCTCTATATTAGCCAGGTAGTATGATAAAAAAAAAAAGTGGGAAAAAATTTCCAAAATGTTCAATTTCACATCTAAGGATGCTATAGAATTTCTAGTTAGTGAAAGCTCAGTTCCCTGTATTACCTCAATAGATGATGATTCTATGGATAGAAATTCAATATAAAGGAATCTTTTGCAAAAACAAAACTCATGATCAAAAGACTATGAAGGCCATAGGAAACATATATATAGGAGACTATATATAAGATATATTATATATATATATACACATACATATACATATATACATATGTATATATGTATGTATGTGTGTGTGTGCATAGATAGATAGATAGATTTTGGACAGGCACTGCACAGTGGCTGGACAATGTATTGAGCCAAAAATTAATTTGCTTTTGGGAAATTGTGCGGTGCTTTTCATGACTCCAAGCTTCTCCCTGAAAGAAGACCCATCTTTTTAACATCAATATTCTTCTCATGATTTGGTATAACTGCATATCTCAATATATCACAGTCTCCAGAAAATTAAAGTCAGAAGTCACCCAAAGGGCAATGAAGAGGTACATGGGGAATGTAAATAGGTTGCAACATATTACCAATGAAGACCTGCATAGGAGAAGCAATATACAGGAAGTTAGCAGAGAGATGGATATCTTAAAAGAGAGAGAGCTGGTCATATAATAATCATAATGAAAGATAGCCAGGGGATAGCCGACATGCTCCATTTTTATCCATATGATGTCATCATGCTTAGAGGAAGGCCCCCAGAATGCTGAGTGGACACCTCTGGAGCATTTTAGGGGAAGATGCAAACAAGAATCAAACAGAATGAGAAGACATAGATGGGTTGCAATCTTTACTTTGGAAAGACAACCCACATCACTGAGATCAAAAATCCCTCAAAGTGTTTGTCAGCTATCAAAATTTTTGTTCATCAAAGCCTTTGAAATGGTAAATAATCAATGGAAGAAATTTTCTCAAGAGATACTGGCCTTGCATAAAACTAGATTTGCCTCTGAGCCTTAGCGTTGACAAAAATAAATGAATTAAAATTTAAACTAAATTTGCATTTATAAAAAATAACATTGCAAAGTACTCCTAGTTTAACCTATATGATGTGTCCTATATGACTACTTACCTTGTTTATCCGTAGTCCTATGCTCCCCCAAAGTCTGGTATCCTCAGATATCTGGAATGAAGAAATCGTTGAAGAGCTAGCACCATTAAGAAGAACTAAAAAATCCCTGTAAAAATACAGCCTGACCTTAATGGTCTTCAGAAGCAATATTCAATTCAATTCAGCAAACATCAATTCAACAACTACTATGTGCAAAGCACTATTCTAGGGACTAGGGCTACAAAGATCAAAAACATTCCAGTCTCTATCCTCAAGGAATAATTCATTCATTGATTAAATATTACGTTCAGTGCTTTCTTGAGCAGAGTTCTGTGCTAGGCTGTGTACAAGATATAAGATTTAGACAAGACATGGGTGTGCTTGTAAATGTAAAAGAACTGGTGCTTAAAAAAAAAGGCATGGATTATACACTTTTAAATTTAAACTGCATTATTAACATTTTCTACTCTACTTCCTTAAGACTAGATAATCAACAAAACAATAAATCAAGCCTTGATTTGTCAGTTTTCCATTTCTGAGGTGTAAGTACTCAATCTGAAAATTTAAAAATTGACTGTCGTGGGCTGGTATGAGCTGGCTCCAGCACACCTATGGCACAGTTCTTGCCCTCATGAAGCTTATAGTCTAATAATGGGGATAAGGCACTTATAAAATAAGTATGATATAAGGGAAATGGTGATAAGGGCAAAGGAGAAGTTAAGGCAAAGCACTACAAGAAATTTGGAGAATCATTTTTAGCTGAGGAAGCTTTAGTGAAGTCATGGCTCCTGAACTGGGACTTGAAGGAAAATCAATGCTTGGGAGATGTGAAGAGAATGTATTTCAGGCATGAGGCATAGCCTATGTGAGAGCATAAAAGCAGAAGAGGATAGAATGAGAATGTGTAACAGCTGGTAATCCAACTAGTTTGGAACATGGGAATGTGTAAAGGAGAGAAGAACGAAATAAGTTCGGGAGAAAATCCACAAGATGTGGAAATGTTGCTGGAAATGAAGACAATGTAGCAATCAAAATGAGATGCAACACTTCCCACCTCCCAGAACAAGAAGTAAGAAATGGAGAAAAAGGATAAACTCATGAATGTCATATCCTTGTGAATGCTAGAAAGGGGTGAGATAGTTGAGTTGAAGCTGATAGGTTCGAGGTGGCTACTGATGCTGAAACAATAGAAAGCATTTTGAATGCTGTTAAAAAGACAAAGGTCACTAATACTTAAAGGGTCTGCGTTTCATCAGTTTGGGTATGCACTTTGCTGACTTAGATAGCACCTCCGCTGTGTCTAAGTGTGTGGTTCTGTAAGTTTCTATGACCAAAAGTATTAGTACTTGGTGGGCAACATCCAGCCGTGAGTTTCTCTGAACTGAGCACTGGTCTTCAGATAATATATTGCCCATTACCTTGAAATTTTCCAAGCTTGGTAAAGGTAGCATTGCTTTCCAGAGCCCAGATCACCTCCATACCATGATCAAGCATCAGATAAAGGCTTCAGTGAAGGAAGGATCCTGATAAAGACTCAACATTATTATTGTTTTAAATTGAGATCAAGAAACAATTTGGGAAAAGGATGAATACTGTTAAGAACAAGTTTTGTTTTTTAAAAAGGTACTATGTTATACTGCCCAGAATGATCATTAGGTTCTACATACTAAACATCTCTTCCCTGAGAACAAGGCAGATGACAAGAAAGCAAGCTGATAGATGGAGTTGCTTAAAGAAAACAAGTAAAGGTGAATTTACATTAGTATGGATTTAGTCAAATATATACCCCATTATCTCTGCATGACTGAACAATACAGTAATGATAATGATAACTTTGAGGTCTTGAAAAAAGGTTAAATTATATATTCAATACACTCTTGTTTGCTGGAGCTGGGAAATTTGAAATACATTTTAGAAAAATTCCCATTAAAAAGATTGATGTGAAGTTTTCTACCTAAAGACTTAACCAATTATCCCCCAAAAGCAACATATATCATAACTGATCTGTATCACTGAGAGACTATTAAAGGGCATAATACTCATCATGTGAGTGATTATATATAGAGAGAGAGAGAGAAGGGGAGAGAAGGGTCAGTTCTTAATGTGTGTACATGCATAAGACTTAAATTACACGGTTTTTCTTACTGGAAGCAAAGTAATGGGGGAAGTCATTGTCTGAGTTTTCTATTGGCTGAATGCCAATTTTCGAAATCACAACTAGCCAGCTGTTCCAAGGAATTCCAAGGAATCTTTGGGCAGGCATGTACTATACTAGGTTATTCTTTGAAAGTGTTGATATAATGATCAAAACTTGCATTTTTTTATTACAAAGAACTTTCACATACATTAAGGAAGATCTCAGGGGGCAGAAAGTTCTTTCTTCCAAAGGAAACTTGCTTTTCTTCTCCTTCTCTCTCCTGACATCCCTTATCTCAATCTTTGGCTTTAGAGTCAGCATTCTAGAAGTCAATGGAGATCTACATAAGAGGGTGTGATAGCTTGTCATGTTCCATATCTGCTTCCAGCATCTTTCAGAGCCTTGTTCCTATAGAACACTATTCAAGGAGACAAGTTAGTTTATTACTGATATTTATAGCTACATTGGTCTCATCCAGCATCAGTATATCTAGTATGATGCTATGGAAAAGTCCTAGATTGAGAGCCAGAAGCCCCAAGTACAAATCCCAGCTTAGTACATGGGGACTTTTCACCCTGAAACATCCTTCTTTCCCTCCAGCTCCCTTTCTCCCATTTGTGAATTCCTCCTTTTGCCTCAATTTAAGGGAGGGGCCTAGGCCAGCCATGCTTCATTCCTCTGTTTCTGACTTTGCAGATTTTACCAGCATGTTTTCCCTACTCCTCAACAATAAATACTTTCCCTATTCTCTTACCCCCAGCTTTCTAGTACCCTTTTGTGTGTTTTCTTCCCCTGTTAGGATGTAAGCCTCCTGAGGGCAGGGACTGTCTTTCTTTTTGCTTGTATTTGTATCCTCAGTGCTTAGCAAAGTACCTGGCACATAGTAAGCCCTTAATGCTTGTTGCCTGCCTCCCTGGCTGACTCTGTGTGACCTGCTTGTGTGACCTCAGACATCCTTTTTCTGGGCCTCAGTTTCCTCATCTGTAAAATAAGTAGGTTGGACTAGGTGTCTTCTAATGTCCATTCCAATTCTAAATATGTATGTGTTTGTGTGTATGAGAGAGGGAGAGAGAGAATTAAAGTAATTATACATGTGACCTAATCTCAGTGTTTCCTGGTTACCAAAGAACCATATCCCAAAATTGAGGTCAAGGCAAGAAAAAAAAAAGAGCCTTTCTCTGCATCCCTAAATTATGTAGAACATGAATGCAGCACCTCCCCTGCCTTATCCTTAGAATGCAGAGTAGCATGGACCTATACAGGCTATATGCCTACTTTCACTCTCACACTAGGAAACCTATTTCATTGAGAGCACAGGAAAGGATGATAGAATTTTGGCTGCTATAGGATTAGAGAGGGTCAACTTTACTTGTCTATGATATTGGATACTTCCAAGACTTACAGGGAAATTTGATACATCAATATTTTTAAAAACTAAAGTTTATCATATTTCTTTAATGAAGCCATTCATTTTTCTCTCCTCTACTTATTAATAATTTTGTAAGTGTGGTCTTCTCTGAGATGTCTCACATAATGCTTCTCCTTTTTCCTCTGATTAAATCAGTCATCCTGTTGAGAGTGGTTTTACAATTTGCAAAGAAGGGAACCAACCAAATCATCCTACCCAGTCAGTAAGATACAACCCTGGCTTATAATCTAAATTTTAAATGCTGAGTGAATAATTTCCTCTTACTATTTGTGCTCTGTAGTGGGAATGGGTACCCACCCATAAGTTGTATTTCCCCACCTGCAGCATGACAAATTTTCTGAAAGAATTGTTTATCTCTCTGGGACAATTCTCTAAATCAGTGTTGTAACTCAGTTCAATTCAGTAAGCACTTATAAAGTGCTTTCTATTTTGGGGCCTGGGGTCAGGTGCCAGAAACAAAGCAGCCTGTGCCCTGGAGGAGCCTATATTCTGCCAGGGCAAGCTAGGGGGCACAATGCGGGGCGGGGAGAAAGGTTGAAGAAATACAATATATAGACAGACAAGTAAATACAATGTAATGGGGTGGGGGTCACTAACAACTGATGGATTTCAGATCAGAAAAGGCCTCTTGTAAGGGACAGCCTCTGTGCTAAGCCTTGAAGGAAGCAAGAGGGTTCAAGAGGAGAAAGAAAGAAGAGAGAGTGGTTCAGACATGAGGGATGCCTCACTTGTCAAAGGGACAGTGGTGGGAGGTGAAATAGTTATGTAAGCACTGTTTCCATAATGAAATTACAGTGACAATAAGTGTCATGGCCTTTTAAATGTTATGTTATGCAACAGGAATTTGTATGAACTACCATCCGTTTTATTTGGTTTTAATTCTATATTAGCAGTGCTTCTTAATTTCTAATATCTCCAGAAGCTATGTACTCCAGTGACAGAGGGTGCTCCTCACTCTACCCTTGGGGTTCTCTAGTGCTGGAGATGAGCCTGGGGCTTTCTCTACACACTCACACACAATTCAGGGACACAAAAAAGAATTCTTCCTTAGAAATCATAACGTATAAATCCTTTGCTGCATAGAATGATAATAAAAATGAGGTGTGTGGCTATATACAGTATTCTGTTGGCCACCAAGAACATCTCTGGATGAAGCCCCACTTAGCTCTGATGGTGTTGTCTTTTTTTTTCTCCCTCCCCCCTTTTATTAGAGCTTAAAGGTTAAGGGAGTGGACCGCACTCCCTATCTGGGGGATGTAGCTGTGGTTGTGCATGCTGGGAAAAAAGAGATGGGAACTCCACTTGCAGACACTCCCACCCGGCCAGTCACTCGACATGGGGGCATGAGGGACCTTCACGAGTCCAGCTTCAGCCTATCTGGTAAGAGCAGGGGCAGCACAGTGTGGGTATTAGCACTTGGGTCCCGGGGAGGGGCAGGGTGGGAGGGAGGGCAGAGGGAAGAGAAGAAACTGATGCAGCTACATCAGGTAGTAGGAAACTTTACCTGAGGTACCTGTTCATCCTTTCCCCCAAACTCTAGTAGCAAGTGCTAGAATAGTATAGCTAAGTGTTTTTTGGAGCAGGCAAGGACATGATCTAATTTGTGACTAGAGAACTCCTGGAGCTGATTCCCTTTGTCAGGGATTGCAAGAGATCAAGTGACTTGCCCAGCATCATATAGCCAAAGTGAATCCAGCACAGTACTTGAACCCAAGGTCTTATTGCCTGTGAAGCCAGCTCTCTAACCATTACACCACATTGCCTCTCATAATTCTTATGTAGCTAGATATTACATTAGACAAATGCTGAGATGAGAGAAAGACAGAGAGAAATTGTCTGGATATATCCAAGACCTCCTCACCTCAGACTTTGCCAGGTTTGGACCAACATCAAGCATATCCCAGCCCAGCAAGTCTCTTTCCTTTCCATCTTTTTGAGGGTCCTGTATATACCAAGGTCTACTCCAGCACTTATTCAGTGCCTTGGTGGATGTCATTATCCCTGTGGATCTGGGAACCCAGCTCTAATTCCGCCAGTCAACTTTCTGGATCTTGCCTATTTTCTAGAATCTTTTATTTCTGATTCTTCCCCCTTTCCCCAACATACACACATCTGTGTGTGTGTGTGTCTCTCTCTGTCTCTGTCTCTTCCCCCCCATCTTTCTGCAGTTTCTGTCCTTTTTTAATCTTTTAAACTTACATTTCCTTAACCTCCATTGAAAAGATGCATCATTTTTTCCTTTTTCTTTCCTTATGAACTCTTGTTTCTTTTTTTTAATCTTTCTGATACTCTCACCTAGCTCCAACCCCAAGCAACCTAAAAATCCTGGGGATCCTTGGAGTATCTGGGTCCAATTCCTACTCCAGGAGATGGGGTCCCATTGCAATTTGGTCCCTGAGCATGAGGCTGTGGGCTTCTTCTTGGCAAGTATGGTATCTTCATATGTTATAACATGTAATAGCTACATATGAATAAGCAGCTACCTCTTGATGGCAAGTGAAGAGATTCTGGAGTTTATAAAATATGCTAAGACCTCCAAATTACTCTGCCCTGGGAGGAACTGTATCCACCATCATCTCTCCCCTAGAAAGGACAGTGAACTCTACTCTCCCAGTGTTCCACAATTCAACTTTCTTTTGTAATCATTGTGTGTTTTGTTCTCAGGAGTAGGAGTCTTTAACCTCTCTTTTCTAAGAATTTCCTGATTCAGTGCCTGCATAGTATCATAGTATTACCATGTTCATTTCTAGAATCTCACCAGCTGTAGTAGCATGGTAATTGAATTGAGGAAGAATCTGATACACCGACCCAGGGGTCGAACAGGCCTTTTACTTTTTCCTTTTTTAAAAAAAATATTTCTGTTGATGCTTATTTTCATAATTTAATATAATTAAAGCTAAAAGGGACCTCAGAGGTCATGTAGTACAACCCCTAACTTAACAGATGAGGAACCTGACCCTGTATTTACAGCCTAGTCATTTCCTTTTTAAGAAAATTTTATTTTATTTTTCATTTAACCAGAATTTATTTTTTCTCCCTTCCAACCATCTCTGGTCCAAGGGTATGCATAGCTTAATGACTTGTTATTTAGTGACTAATCATAGTTATTTCCCAACCACCTACCACTATATTGAGCCCTCCTTTGTGA